GATTAAATGGGATAGAACATTATAAGCACTGAATTCATACTAAGCCCCAAATAAGTGTTATTCATTATGTCTAAGCCACAGTAATTTTCTGAAACATTTTCAGGGCCCCTGATTAATTGGGAAATTTCCCTGACCTCTGGTGGTGAACAGTGATGATGAAAGCAACTAAGGAAGCCCTGCAGAGGTAAATTATAGGGTAGTAATTGAGCAAAGAAAAGAAATTGTTTCAGTCTTCCTATCCAGTAGTTCCTGCTTGAGAACATGGCCTGAAGAGCAGGTAAAATGATTCCACCACCCACCCCTGTTCCCAAGTTACTAACCCCTGTCAGAAGAGGTAATATACATACCTCTATAAATTTCACAAGCAATGAAAACAATTAGAGGTTCATCTGCATTAAGAAGCTTCTTTAAACATTTTGCACATTACTGTGGATTTCTTGCATCACTAATTCTTTCTTATATGTCTATTTCATTTTTTAAAACGTGTAGTACATGAATATAGTCATAAAATTCAAATAATACAGATAAAATCAAAGCCTTATTAATTCTTTATTGACTTATTTATGCATCTTGCTCTATCACTAGTTTATAAGCTCCTTAAGTGCCCGAAGGAACCATGTCTTATTCTTTTCTCATTCCCAGAACCAAGCAGAATTCTTGGCATATAATAGAGGATTGATTATCTTGTTGATTGAGTGAATGAATGAAGGAATGAGTAAATAAAAAATGAAATTACTTCCTCCAACTGAAGAGATGGAGATAATGCCTGTTGGGAAGGAGAAATGAAGGCTAACTTTTGAATGCTGGATGCTGAAGAGGAGACTTGCCCGTGTTGTGAGTTGGAGTGGAGCTTTTCTGGACAACCAGGGAGCCTCAGAAGGGCTCTGAGACCCTAGATAATATAGACAGTTGTCACTTGGATGACCTTGCCACAGTTCTTGTTGGCAACCATTTTCTTTCGTGCCACTGGAAAAAAACTCTTTCAGGTGCCTTGGGCCTGTCCTCAATTTTATTTTAAAATGCTATTCTCTGTATTTATAAAAGGCAGAAAAGACAAGAACTATGTGTACTTGCCAAAGTATAAAAGAATACGTAATTAAAGTAGATGACAATTTTGGGGGGATAGTAACCCAAACTCTAAGTAAATAAATATATTTAATACATAAATACATCTATAATAATATGAATGCCCTCTCCTCTCGACTATATATTGACTTGTAGATAATTTCCTTCATCACTCTATTGGTGATGGGCTTTATGCTGTAAAATTCTCAAAACCTAAAGCTTATGGAATGGTCTCAATGTCCAAAGAGCACTAAAAACTCATCAATCACAAAATGATACCAATAACTATAACTATTTCATAATATTTCCAGTACTATCTGTAATATCTGAGTGGTTATGTGAGATGGTCACTGGTTAAGCAGATCATAGTCCAAAAATTGAAGAATGTCTGACAGGTAACCATTTCAATCACAAGAAGTGGAGCCAGGATTGAAGAGGGTATTGGACAGGCTACAGAAATGGAGTAATATACCTGAAGTCACTAAGTAGAGTTCTCAGATTCAATCAAGATTAAATCAATGAAGAAAGGAATATGGACAAGAAAAGGCAGCAAAGTCAGTAGAAAGTAGCCAGATCAAGTAGCCAATAGGGAATTGAAATGGTTATTGAAAAAATGAAAGTTGGTAGAATGAGGCACAGGACATCATTCTGTGTCTCTGGGAAAGTAAAATTGGTTGGCATGTTAGTATGCAATTGGGTTTTTACAGTGCATTAAAAAAATGTTCCCATGTTCTGGGAACTAAAGGGCGTTCTGAATAGGCAGCTTGAGAGTTACGATGAGGATGATGATGATAAAGCTTCCTTTATGTTACAACTGGCAAAAAGAGTTTGTCATGCTCACACATTTTAAGTCTACATAAAAGTAAATATGAGCAGAAAACTTCTGGTGAAGATTTCTTAAAGGGCAGCACAAAATGACATGGGATTTAGCATCAATAAGTTTGGGTTTGAGCTCTAGCTTTCACAGTTCTTGTCATGAACCTTCAGCAAGGCACTTAACCATCCTGAGTTTGAGTTTCTTCGTCTAAAAGCAAGGAACTGGAAGATCAGCGTGGCAATGCATCTGAGAGTATTCTGTAAACGAGAATGCCAAACACTAGCATATTATTATTGAATTCGGTGCTTCATTTCCAGTGGATTAAGAATTCCATATTTGGACCCACCTTGACTGGAGATTTCTGAAAAAGCTGCTTCCGGTCGCATCCCTTTTGGGCTCTATGGGCGTCCTTTGCTGAATAAAATTTGATGATGGCATAGAAACCAGGACGAGCCACTGCAGCGTTTGGGAAGACTCTAACTGAATACAGAAGGCCAAACCGGGAGAATTCTGTGAACAGAGAATTCTGTGGGGTGGTCCCACACCAAGTAAGTGCATGAAATATCGTGGCCAGAAAACAAAACTTCACGTCCCCTCCTATTCCCCAAACCCTTCCCCACAGTGGGTGCAACTCGAAACACTTCTCATTTCATGAACAAGTTTTCCTCTTAAATTCTAAGCTTTAAGAAGCATTAGCAGGCAAAATGTGCTGGCTGTTGAGAGGTGCCTCTGGGTCTCTGTAAAACCCGTTGGGGCTAGGTGACTGCTGGGGCCCCCTACCGAACTAAGAGCCCGTCAGTGGAGGTTACGAGGCAGGTGAGGTGCTAAGGCAGGACTCCCGGGCTCCCAGTCACGGGTGGGCGGCTTTCTCCATCCCTCCCTCCACCCTGGCCCCGGCTCACATGCAAGGCCTCGGCCGTAGGTCCAGAGCTCAGCTCCCAGACTAGCAAGGTTTTGTCACTCTTGGCGGGAACCGCAAAAGGTACCAACTCCGCCATACTACCGTTGCTGCACCTGCGCGGTTAAGGTTCGAGCAGTACTGCGCCTGCGCAATGCGTGCCCGCCCTTTTTTAAAAAGGGACGCATGCGCGGGGCGGAGCCGGTACGGCGCGGCGGACGGGGGCGGGGCCGGCACTCGTAGCGGTCCCTCGCCCCTCCCACGCCAGGCCGTTCTCAGAGTCAATTCGCTTCCTCCGGCCCAGTCTCAGAGTTGTGCTTCTACTCAAGTGTGTTTTTAGGGCAGAGTCCTAAGGTGGGCTTTCTGGATGGAAGGGTAGGGACATCTTCATAGCAGTTGGCTTCATTACTCCTGGAGGAGACTAGGGACCTAGGTAGTTAACACTACTACCTACTGATCTTGTAGGAAATAACCACTAAAGATGCTATCCTTTGACTTGAGTGTTTTCAGTATTAAATACGCAAATCAAAGTATAACTCGCTAAGCCGTTAACAGTCGCATGAAATCCTTAAAAAGAACTCCCTGGTTGTCCTGCGCGATTCTGATAAATTGCATATGTGTGTTTCAGATGGTGTGGGAGGTTGGGGTGGGCAGAGTAAGAAAAAGAAATAAATTTGGGGACAAAAATCAAACAGTGGGTCCAAATAGGGCACCAACATTGGAGCTGATGGTGCCTGAGAAGGGGTGTTCTAGGCGTCATAATCGGCTACTTACTGAGAGCGAAAGAGTCCTAAGACTCTTTAAACTAGAATGTCAGAACCAGAAGAAACCCTGCAAAACAAGTCTCCTGTGGTTTTTATAAAAATAATAGTCCTCAGACCTGTGCTTGTCTGTGATGAAATTTTCACTTGTCCTCAGCTGAATGAGAAAAGAACAATATAATCAGGGTTTTTTTAATCTCATAAAATAAAATCTATTCCATTTCATTCTGCTACAAACATGACCTCCCTACAATTCTGACACACACAAAAAATGTGTTTTATGAAAAGATGCTGATAAATAGAGAATAGTTGTTTTAATACACTTACTTGGGCATTAAAATTAAAAGTTGGAAATCTCAGGTTTAATTTTTTTGACATTTTATTGGCGTGTCAAATCCAAAAGTCTGGGAACTACTGAATAGTCAAATCTCTCATCTTATAGCTGAAGCAGTTAATACTCAGCGGTAGAGAAATGAGTGGCCAGAATAACACCCCAGTTTGGCCAGACATTACAGACGGTGGCTATGTGCAGGACATTCTTCCAATTGTCCCTTTTCTGCCTTTGCCTTTTCTTTAAGCAGTTCTGCTCTACACCAGCACCCTCCAAGCAAACTGGATCCTATCCAGAGAAGACTTTTTTAATCTTCTAGATTCTATTAATAGCCCATCCTTCCAAACCACCCCAAAATCGTTAGCACCTATCACCATTTCTCCATCTCACCACTCCTTTCTCCACCTCAGTACCAGACCTTTACCCCCAAAAACCTCAAGAGCAATAGTTATGTTTTATCTTCCTTCTAGTAACCAGCACACTCCTATTGTATTAGGTACTCAAATATACACGGAATTAACAATGAATAAATTAACACATTCTTTGCACAGGCACTGCTTTAATAATTCAAAAACTATAGATTTCTTTATTGTAGTCCTCTTGGTTTTGCAAATGACAGACAGGAACCATGGGACTGGGCCTGGATGTGAACAAGGAGGAAGCCCAAGAAAACCATTTATTCCCAGGGCTCTGATCAGTTTTACTTGTAAATGGGAAGGGAAGAGAATAACATGAAGCGGAGGCAAGACGAAGAAGAAACGAAGAAGCTCCGAGTGAGGAGAGGAGTCCCAGAATGACTCTACAGCGGGCCTGCACCCTGTTTCATTCCAGGTGGCATCCTGTCATCCAGTAGGAGAGTGGCCGGCCCGAGCAGTGCAACCTCCATTCTACCCTGCGGAGAAAAAAGATGTGGTTCTTGCTGCCCACTTTGTAGCATCTCCACACACATGCCCAGTTCTTGGTGAGTTTTCTATGCAGAGCAACACCCAGAATCCTCTTCGTTACTAGCCCTCTGGTCTGTCCTTCACTGGCTCCTCTGATTCTTCCAATAAATGTCCCTCATCCCTGGTATTCTCTCATCAGTACGCTTCCACATCTTCAAATCCTCATCTCCCTCTTAATGGGGAGACAGCACCGTTTTACAGGGCTGAAAGTTATTAAAAACAAAACAAAAGAATAACAAAAAAAAAAAAAAAAAGCAAGTGCAACCATTGACTCTCCGCTCCAGGAAGGCTCAGCTCTAATAATCATCAATGTCCCTTTTGTACAGTGTTTTGAGTATGCAAAGCATTTAACACCCTCCATCCTCACAATTGCCTGTAGAGTCAGCCATTTATGTTATTTATATATCTACTTTGTAGCTCAGAGAAGGTAAGTGACATCCGAATGTCCCCCGTTAGAGAGCTGATAGCTTTGGGGGGGTGTGCCCAGCTGATGAGCACCATGCTTTTAATAGAAAAAATTGCCAATCCTGGCAAGAGTGCTCCTGCGGTAGCCCTGATTGCGTTGCTAAACGCCTACTGTGCCAACAGCTGATTGGACCAAGGGGGAACACATGGCCTCAGCTGAATCAGATTTTCCATCCCAGGAACTTGGGTGGGAACTGAGCGTGTTCAGTCCCTGTAGTTGTCCCTGTAGTTGTTTAGGACTTTAGCACACAAACGTGGGGTGCACATAGTATGTCTTGTGGACTGGGGAACAGAGAAAGCTGGCCTGCAGAGTAGTGAAGCGAATGCACCAAAAGAAGCTGAAGCCTGCCAGGGAAAGCTTGCTGACAGTTTCCAGCCCTGATTTCGTTCCCTTCCTGAGCCCAGCTGCACCCCTTGAGTGGGCTCAGGGAGACACCTTGTTCTCCCAGAATAAATTTCCCCCAGCTAGCTCAAGTTGTTTTCTGTTACTGCAACCAAAAGAGTTTTGTTTAATACGATATCAGAGAAAGAACCAGATCTCAGGTCTTCTAGCTCAGAGCTCCAAGCCCGTCCAAACCATCCCACATTTTTTCAGATGTGGCAAAGGAGTGCCCATGAGTCCTTGCCTATTGCCCCTTTCTCTGCCACGTCCTCCTTCCTGGGCCTCTGCCCACTAACTTAGTCCCACCATGTCCTCCTCACCATTTGTTCATCCCCCCTGATCTGGACACAATCATTTTCGCGCATTTAATGCCTGAGAGAAGGTTGGGGTTCAGCAGATCTGAAAGAGAGAAAAAGAAAACCCGTGAGGGCAACAGAGGACAGTCCCAGAGACTGAGGCAGACACTGGCCCTCCCTGAACAGCTCTATGCCACCTAGTGGCTGAGTACTTCAGTCCAGGCAAGGCCTCCCACCCAGGGACCAATGTAGACATCTCTATAGTGGCTGCTGGAGGTTGGGGGTGGGCAGGGGTGGAGGTAAGAGGGGGCAGGAGGACTGAGATTTGGGCCTGTTCATTACTATTCTTCCTAGCCAGGGTAGATGGTGGTTCACCCACAGTTTGGCGGGGAGGGGGGAGGGAAGGGAGGGCTGTCTAGGAAGAGGAAATGCCAAAATAGATAGCACAGAGGCCACAGTAAAGTCCTGCCTAACTAGGGGGACTCTTTAAGCAAGGAGCCCAGGGAAGTTAGTGAGTGTGTGATGGAGGAGGTGAGGGACAGGGTCGTGGGCCCTATCAATCCTCCTGGATCAGCTTTAAGGAGGAGAGTTTGCACTTGGCCTTTGCTCAGACTATTAACCGAAGATGGTACCACTGAGTCACTAGAGCTGAGCCTTTGAGGCCACTGGTTTGGCCTTCAGTGCTGGTTCTCTTCATGGGCCTCAGTTTGCTCATCTGTAAAATGGGGATCATAAATAGTTTGCCTGGAAGGTTGGGTGAAGTGAGCTATGCATGTAAAGTGCTTAGTATGTAATATCCTCTCAGTGGAAGTTTGCTGCAGCCGCTCTACTACCACTGGCTGTACAGAGCCTTTCTGGATCCTAGTCAAGGACTCTACAGAATCTCCTAATTGCATGGGCATTAGGGCCACTAGTTCAACCCTCGGCTCACTAAAGGGATTCCCTAATTCTTTGGACCATCTCTCGGGGGGCATTCCCAGGCTGTGGGTGGAAAGAGAAGTCCTGTGAGCAGAGCCTGGTCTCCTCTCTCGCCTCTCCCACCCTGGGGCCCTGGCCAGACCTTCACAGTCCACATGGCAAAGGTTTTCCGAGTGACTCTTGTAATCGTTGCACCAGTAGTGGCTGTTGATCTGGAAGAGGCCGTAGTCAGAGCTGCCATCTGCATTTTCATTTACCTTTGATATGTTGAAGTTGCTTTCTATAAAAGCCAGGCACAGCCCTTAGAATGGAGAGAAGGAGATCAGGATTTAGAGGGAACCAAGCCAAGTGAGAAGGGAAGTGGAGGAGAAAGGGACAGGGGGGATCAGACAAAAGAAACAAGCCCGAGAGGCTAGACGGAGCGAGCCGATTGGCTTACCCATTGGCTTCCCCTCTCATCCCTCGGTTCATCCACCCATTCATCAGTACAACCACTCATCCAGCCTTCCACCCATCCATGCTTTCTGCACTTACTGAGCACCTACTGTGTGCCAGGAACTGTGCAAAGCCCACCTTTCAGCTGGGTCAAGCACAGATGCTGCCTTCAACAGGCCTGTATTACAAGAATAAAGATATGTACCTAAAAAAAGCCACAAAGCAGGATAAAAGGAGAAAGTGTTGCAAGACAGGTGTGCACAAATTCTGGGCAAGTGGGATAACCCTTCCTTGCAGGAGGATGAAGCCTTTGTACTGGCTGTTCCTTCTGCCTAGAATGTTCTTCCCCCTGACATTTGGGTGACCAGGTCCTTCATTTCATTCGGTGCTGCCCAATGTCACTTCCCTATCTAAAACAGTGTGTCCTGTCACTCCCCCTGCTTTATTCTTCTTCATAGCATTTAGCACAACCAGGCAGTACTGTCTATAACTGTGTGTTTATTTACTGCTTCTCTCTTCCCCTAGAATGTGAACATTATGAGGGAAGGGCATTTGTTTATCCCCCATGTCTCCAGCGCCTAAAGCAGTTCTTGGTACATAATAAGTGCTCAGTTAGTAATTGTTGAATGAATATGAAGTGTTGGGAAAGGCTTCTTGGAGGTGTGGGTTTTTGAACCTGGCTTTGAAAGATGAATGGGAAAGAAAGAAGCTGGCTACTTAGGGCATGACTAGGAGAGGAGGACAAATGGCAGGGGAGGGCTGATGGCACTCACAGTCACTCAGGGAGTAGCCCTCAAACCCATCCACGTCCTCCTGGTGCAGCACCTTGGCCAAGTCACAGCGATGGATGATGCTGGCCTGGTTTACGACAAGGAGGCAGCTGACCAAGGGGATGAGTAGCTCCCTCATCGTCCTTGGAGGGGAGGAGGTGCCGTTGAGGGCCTATCGTTTTAGAGCCTCACAGACTTCCTGCTGGTCTTCTCCGAGAGCTGGGGACTCTGGAGAGAGCAATCAAATGGTCTCGCTCGCTCACTGCTCGCTACCTGGCTGTTTCAAGTCTCTTTCCTCCCGTTTATTGTTTTATATATATTTTTTATCACAGAAAACTAAACACTTACAAAAGAAAAGAGAATAGTATCATGAACCTCCATCTACCCATTTCCCAGCTTCAACAGTTAAAAACCAAGGCCAATTTCATTTCATTTATAGGTCCGCTTTTAATGTACACCCAGCTACAGGCAGCATTCAGGTGCTGGGGTGGGGAGTGAGGTCGGCAAAGGAGATTAATGAAGACTGTGCTTCACCAGCATTTGTGTGTGTGTGTGAGCATGTGCTTTCAGAAGGAGGGCCAGGATACTGGGTGCTAATCTCCCCCGCAACCCCGCATCCTCAGACCCATGACACATGACTTTCCCCAAGGGCATACTCTGCCTTGTGCAATTCCTGGTGAGCTGGCCACAGAAATAACCTTCACTTTCACACTGTGTGTGTGTGTGTGTGTGTGTGTGTGTGTGTGTGTGTGTGTGTGTGTGTTTATATGTGTGTAGAACAGCAAGGGCTCTGGATTCACACTACCTGCTTTCAAATGCTGGGCTGCTATGTGACCTTGGGGAACATACTTAACCTTTCTGAGCCTCATTTGTAAAACAAAGATGTGCTAATTCCTACCTAATAGGGTTGTTGCAATAATTAAATGAAATAATGCCCAGATCTTGGTTTCACATTCCCCACCAAAGTGGACCAGGACAACGGGCTGATTCCCAGGCTGGAGCAGGAAAGGATTATGAGATAAGTCTGGATTATCTTGTTGTACCAGAAAGTAAGAAAGTGCTTAAAATATGGACTGGGGCTTGTCAAATAGACACAAGAGCCAGCTCAAAAGGGGATGGAGTGGTCAAATAGGGAACAATATTTTTTTGTAACAGCTTTATTGAGATATAATTCACAATGTATAATTCACGTGCCATACAATTAATTGGGGTAAAGTGTACAAGTCAATAGTTTTTAGTATACTTGCTGAGTTGTGCAACTGTCACCTCACTTGATTTTAGAACATTTTCATCAATCCAAACAAAACCCTGCACCCATTAGCACTCGTTCCCCATGCCTCCTCCCCAGCCCTTGGCGACCGCTAATCTGCTTTCTGTCGCTATGGTTTTCCTACTCTGGCCATTTCATATACACAGTTACACAGAATATGGTCTTCTGTGTCTGGCTTTTTAACTTAGCATGATGTTTTCAAGGTCCATCCATGCTGTAGCATGATACTTCATTCCTTTCTACAGTTGAATAATATCTCGTTGTATGGATATACAATTTGTTTATGCATACATCAGTCGATGGACATTTGGGTTGTTTTTACTTTTTGGCTATTGTGGATAATGCTGCTATGAACATTAATAGTCAAGTTATTTTGTGGATATATGTTTCCATTTCTTGGGAGTAGAATTACTACATCATGGGGTCACTCTGTTTAAACTTTTGAGGCCTGCCAGACTTCCAAAGTGGCTGCTCCATTTTGCATTCTTATCAACAGTGTATGAAGGTTCCAGTTTCTCTATAGCCTCACCAACATTTGTTATTGTCTGTCTTTTCGATCAAAGCTGTCCCAGTGGGTGTGAACTGATATCGCATTGTGGTTTTGGTGTGATCGTTTGTCTGATGGCTAGTGATGTTGAGCATCTTTTCATATGTTTGGCTGTTTTTATATCTTTGGAAAAATGTCTTTTAAGAACCTTTGCGTATTTTTACAGTGAGTTATTTGTCTTTTTTATTGTTGAGTTGTTAAGAGTTCTTTATATATTCTGGATACTAGACCCAAATCATTTATCGTCAGATATATGATTTGCAGATATTTTCTCCCATTCTCTGGGTTGCCTTTCACTTTCTTGATAGTGTTTTTTGAGAGTCCCAAAGTTTTTAATTTTGATGATGTCCAGTTTATCTATTTTTTTCTTTCGTTGCTTGTGTTTTGGTTGTCATATCTAAGAAACCATTGCAAAATGGTTTGCAAGGTAATCTGGGACCATTAGACCGTCAAAATAAATGGTAATAACAGATTACGCATTGAATGTGATAGGAATCCATGAGTCTATGATATAACAAATAGACAAATAGATACATATGGGGACGAAGCAGGAAGCTCTTCCTGACAGTAAGATGCTGACTGAGAAATGTGGAGGCAGTCATGAAGTTGGAAAAACATCACCACTTTGCAACCACGATACATTGGTGTGAGCGAGAATCATCAGTGCTAACTCTGGGGCGGTGGGCTGTCTGATGAAGGCCTGGATACATCCACCGTCTTAGAGGGTCTCTCTACTGATTGTGCATTAGTTGCTTGGAAAAAAAACAACCAGTAACTATACAGTGGAGTAAGCAGATAGTATTTTGACCTTGCAATCAAAATTAACATCCCCAGTGAGTAACAGAGGGGCGTTGTGTGCCTCCAGCTGTGACATCCCGAGAAGGACACAACATCGCTTATGTACTATTCTGTCCCCAGATGCATAGCCTGTGTCTAATCCCAAGAAAACATCAGGCAAAGCCAAATTGAGGGAAAATCCGTACAATAACTGGCCTGTGTTCTTCAAAATGGTAAATGTCATGAAAATAAAGACGGGGGCTATCTCCGTCACTGAGGGAGTGTGTATCTTTCCCCTTAAATCAGGCACATGTTGCTGAGGGCAAAGCCTTGGGTTCCTCCATCCACTGCCTGCAAGTGTCAGGCAGCTTCTGGGCGGTGGCTACTCGGGTGGTGTTTCCTCTTATCTCTCCTGTTCTATCTTCTGAGACTCATTCCACAGCAGCCTGAGCTGGGGCCATTCTTTTGTTTCTCCCCCTCTCACCCAAAGTCACCAGATTTAGCAAATGAAATTATAAGATGCCCAGTTAAAATAGCATTTCAGACAAACAAGCCACCCCACTCTGACTCAGTGGGTTCCCTCAGAGATAGTCGTCACCGAGCCTCGGGAAGCAGGGATCCCCATGCCTGCCCAGTAAGCCCTCTCTTGGGGTTCCCTTGGGTGTGTTCTCACCCCTCTCTGAAGCTTACCTCTCTCCCGTCCCTCTCTGACCCAGGTCTCAGCCGGCCCAGGGCTTTCTGTGAGGCTCTGTAGAACAAGGCCGTTTGGGGTAGGAGCCTCCTCTTCCTCACCAACTGCGCTCCAGCCCCGCCCCACTAACAGCTCTCCATGTTCTAAAGAAGGCGGGAGTCCTGGGCCTTCCCAGCCTTCCGGAACCACAGTTCTGTGATGTCATCTGTCTCCCGGAAATACGTTGGTTTTAACCATGCAAATTGGCCAGGTGGAAATGGCAGACGGACAGGTGACAACTGTGAGGCAGACAGCTGGGTGGGAAAGGGCGGAGAGCGCTGGGTGTCCTGCCTGCCCCCCTCCCTTCCTTTCCGGGAACAGCACCACTTTCGGGGGAACTCCTTTTCTTGTGGGGTTTTAGTGGGGCTGCCAGTCACAGGCCCTGTCCCGCGGCGACAGGGAATGCCTGCGCCCTGGTCGGTACATGTTGAAGTGGAACTCCGTGGAGCGGCTCAGCTTTTCACAGGAAGCCGGTGGGTACAGGGCCAGAGGCCAGCAGCTTTAAATCATGCAGATGCAGCTCATCTGAGGGCCTAAGTCTGGATAGGATTCCAGTCCTAGAGTCCACCCTTTCTGGGACCCAAACACAACCTTCACCTTCCTGAGATCCAATAAATGTCCCTGCTTGCATAAACCAGTTTGAGCTGGGTTTCTGTCACTTGCGACCAAAGGAGACCTGCCTGTTACAGTCTGCATTGGGTCAACCATCTGTGGAATGATGGCCTGACAACCTGTCACCTCTCCGTGGAGGCCACAACATTTCAACGTCATTGGTCACCAAGGAAGTCTGGGAGAAATTTCCATCAACCGCAGCAACGCGGAGGTGAAAGATAAAGTTTTATTACTGATATCCACTCCTCCTCCGAAACAGGATGGCAGGATTGGACAGCGAGAGAGTGCAAGGGGCTTCTAAGCGGGCAGCACTGCCTGTCGCCCCACCTCTGGACGTCCCAGCACATGGCACCCTGGGATAGGAAGCCAGCAGAGGCTGGGGGGAGGCAAAACCCCGGCAGGAGGACATTCTGGGGGTACCACTTTGTGGGGTAACCTTTTGTGGTCAAAAATCTACAGGTGCCTCAGAAAAAAATTCATTTCTGTAGAGTGAGAGCCCTGGGCAGGAGGAGAGGTTTCCATAGCCCAGGACCACATGCTAGAAATTTGGTCTCTCTGCAGCTTAAAAAAAACTCTTAGAGGATTTGGCCAGGAGCAGTGGCTAACGCATGTAATCCCAGCACTTTGAGAGGCTGAGGCGGGAGGATCACTTGAGGCGAGGAGTTGGAGACCAGCCAGGGCAACATAGGGAGACCTCATCTCTACCAAAAAAAAATTAGCCTGGCGTGGTGACACAGGTCTGTGGTCCCCCCTACTCAGGAGGCTGAGGCAGGAGGATCTCTTGAGCCGGGGAGTTTGAAGTTGCAGTGAGCTATGATGATGCCACTGCACTCTAGCCCAGGTGACAAAGTGTGATCCTGTCTCAAAAAAAAAACAAAAACAAAAACAAAAGAACTACTGGCACACAAAGCAACATGGATAAATTTCAAAATAATTTGAGTGAAAGACAGCCAGACAAAAGAGTACGTGTATGATTCCATTTGTAGAAAATGCTAGAAAATGTAAACTGATCTCTAATGACAGAAAGCAGATCAGTGGTTGCTTGGGGATGGGGAAGTAGGAAGGGACAGAAGAGGGATCACCAAGGGGCACAAGGAAACTTTGGGGGGTGTGGATATGTTCACCGTCTTGATTGTGATCATGATTTCAGGTGTATACATGTCAAAAGTTATCAAATTGTATCCTATGTATGTGCAGCTTATTGTATGTCACTACATTAATAAAGCTGCTTAAAATATTTTCAAGTTACTATCATGACACAAAGATATTTGTGAAAAGGAAGTTATGGGCGGAGCCGGGTTGAGAATCTCAGCATCAGGTGGATGCAGAAGGGAAAACTCCCATCTCCCCTTCTTCCGGCCCGCGTGCTGTGCAATTTATACAGTGGCCACTAGAGGGCGGAAGTGCCCCATGTCCGGGAAGTGAGGGTTGCAGAGCTTGAATACTTAGACTTCCCTGCGCCGTGCTCCCTAGCCTGGGAATGGGGGTTAATTACCCCCATTACACTCGGTTACAGCTGGAGTTCTAGCTGTGGTCTCTTTGGCTCCTGATTCCATCTTGTTGGACCTCCCTACGCTCCCAAGTCTTTTTAAAAGGGCGTCCTGACTCCATTGAGACGGCAGCCACAGCTCCGGGTCTGGTATCGCAGGGCTGCTATGGAAGAGTTAGCGATGGCACCAAAGAGCTGTGATTCTCAGGGTGGCTTGGGAAGGCCTCCCACCTTGCCTGAAATCCACAATTACAAAGCGGGGAGGCAAGGTGCCATCGTCAGACACTGCAACATCACAGGCTTGGCTAACCAGGTTAGCATGTCACTGAGAAAACGAGACGCTGAAAGGGCCTTTTCATAAGACAGAGAGAAGGGAGAGAAAGTTTAACGAGGGGTGGAAGGGAGATGATGGTGGAGCCTCCAACGGGGTGCTGCCACGGAAGCCTCCCGATAAAAGCAACTGCTGACATTTATCGAGTGTGTGCAACATGACGTCGAACGCCGTGCACAGGGAAGCAGATCATTTTCAAAGCACTCTTGCTAAAGAAGCTGCAGAGAGGTTAGGTAATTTGCACGAAGTTGCAGAGCTGGTGGGAGGCAGTGTGAGGATTTGAATCTAGGTTTGACACCAACATGTGGGCTTAGCTGCCCACTTAGGATGAAGCTGTCTTTCCCTATGACTTAGTTCACGCATGAGGCGGGTTGGTGGTGGTAGCAGATGGTGGGTTTTTAGTTTAACCTTCTGGGGAAAGCTTGTCGTGCTTCAAGAGAATGTTAAGCACCCGTGCTGGGCCAGGAGGAGGGTTCCCCTCCCCACACCTCACCCCTTTATGTAGAGCCTTTATTAATACAATGTGTGAGGTTTCATGTGAAGGCTGATACTTTTACAGTGATGGCATTTGAAGAGCAGGTGGGCAGAGGCCAGCGACAAGTAATTGAGGGGCTGGTGACATGGAACGATCCAGGGACATTGTTCATTTGCACTCACAGGAGTCTGTCACAAGCAGCCCAACTCAACTGGAGTCCTGAGCAGGTGACCAGATCAGGATGCTGGCCTGGGAAACTCCCCAGAAATCCCCAGGTATCAGAACAAGGTCAAGGCGTCGTGGCGAGCAGGTAATTCAGCCCTCGGTGTGTGGGTGGGTGAAGTCCCCCAGCGGTTTCTCTCTTCTCCCTCGGCTGACATCATATAGTTTGACCCTCCAGGCAAAGTGCCTCGAAGAGGTGGTCCCTTCTGTTCTGGGTTCTGCAGAAGCCAGCAGCTCTGGGCTCGCACCCATCACGCACTCTTCCGCCTGTTCCATGCTCTTGTGAACACGCGGTGGGGCTGATACGGGCGCCAGGTAAAAATGAGGATGGAGTCAAAGGAGGCCAGAGTTAAACAGGCCTCACAAGCCCTCTGGGTCCCTCCATCATTTCACAGGTGCAAAAACCCAGGTCTGGGCAGGGGAAGGGACTCAGCCAAGGTGATGGCCAAGTGGGGGCGACCACCCCAGCACTGTCTGTTTCCCCCATACTCTGCAGCCTTCTCTAATGACGGGCCTCGTTGCTGGGTTCTTCTTTATCAAGCTTTGGTCACACATTCTCTCTCTCTCTGTCTTTCTTAAAACATTTATTCTTTAATATCATCACATATTCAATGTTCAAATTTTCAATTGTTTTATGTCAAAAAGCATTTTCTAACAGCTTGATTAAATCAAGATCCCAATGAGATGCACACATTATGATTAGTTGATGTCTCTTAAGTGTCTTTTAATCCATGGGTGCCTCTTTCATGTTTCTCCTTTCTCTTGCAGTTTATTATTGAATAAGCCACATCATGTATCCTGCAGATTATCCACAGTCTGGATTTTGATGATTACAAACCCAGGATACAGGTCAACACATTTCTCTGTCTTTTGTATTTCCTGTAAATTGATAGTTGAATCTAAAAGCCTGATCAGATTAAGAGTTGAGTTTTTTGGCAAAAGTGGTTCATAGTAGGTATCGTGTTTTTCCACAGGACGTACATAATGTCTAGCATCTTTCTTTTTGTGACATTAGCATCTGTTGTTGTCCAATGCCTAGACCCGCTAATGCGCCGGAGGTTAGAACAGTGGTACTCTAACTCTACCGAACTGTCTTCATTTATTAGCTGCGTCACTTCTATAAAGAGAAACTCGCCCTCATCAACTATCCAGTTAGCTGGGGTATTATCTCATCACTTCTGGGTATACAGGACCATCCCCACCTCCACGTGAGGACAGAGGTCAGAGGGGCTAAAGGAATTGTCACCAGCAGAAGAACTGGCTGGCTGGTCCCAGTCAACCCACAGAATCATAGTAAATAAATAAAAAGTGGTTGTTTTCAGGCCCTAAATCAGGCAGCAGCCCTTGAGTGGCAAAGCCCTTTTCTCTCTTCGCAGGAGGGTGGACTCGGCACAATCTTCAACAGCATCCAGTTCAGCTTTGTCACGTGCAGATGACACAGCTCAGGACTAGGAGGTGTGGGGACTCGTGCAGGCTTGCACATATAACCCAAGCCATGGGCATACCCTTGAAGCAAACTCCTGAACATTCCTTGTGAGCAGTTCCAATGTCTTTGCTGGTCTGACGTCCTGGGCTGCAGCCTGTGCTTGAGGTACCAGGGCCGTCATTCGGAGTAAACAAATGAAGATGCTGCTGTTTCTGTATGGCAGGAACTGGCTGCTCCCGGACCTCTCCGCTGGGGAAGCTGCCATAGGCATCGGTCCTGCTGAAGATGTCTGGAGAGCAGCCAGCCTGCCAGGCCCAGGCAGCAGCCAAGGGTCTGGGGACGAGTGGGAGGGGTGGAGAGGCCGGCAGCAGGGCTCCTGCAGAAAAGCACTGGAGCAGCCTGGCCCCCACTCTGGCAGGAGGCCAGTCCAGCGCCACGAAATCCTGCGGGATGGGCAGGTGGCATGGATGGAGGGGAGGACCAGCAGGCGGCAGGGTCCAGCCACTGAGCGGGGGCAGGGCAGAACTCCAGTCACAGGATGGAGCAAGCCAGGGCCCTTATCCTCACACTGGGCAGGTGACCAAGGCAGGAACTTGAGCCCAAGGACCAAGTCAGAAGCCGCATGTGTCAGGTAGGATTGAGTTGGGTTAAGAAGAATGGAAACCCCCAAATATATCATTGACTCAAACAGGTGCTGCACACCCAATATATCCCCTGCTCTGGAGGGAGTTGGGCTGCGACCTCAATTTTGGCTAACAGGACAGGAGCTGATTCACTGGTGGTATGAAGTCCTCTTCCCTGGAATTTGGTGCCATGCCATTTGGCTCCCTGGGCTGCGAAAGTGCCTCTGAGTAAGGGATCGATTAAGGGGTGAGCAAAGGAAGAATTGATCTCTTCCAAGATTGGGGAGCCCCGCCCCTGGCTGAGTGCAATGCTGCCTTGGTTGTGTGCCAAAGGATGGGACAGGATGTTTCCTTAGTCGGGCCCACCAGGGAATTAGTGTCTTGCTGCGGACGTCCCCCGGAAAACTGACTTGGGAGGGAAGGAAGGGCAGTCCGAAGCACTGGAGGCTGGGGAAATTTAGTCAAGATGTAATTTTTGATGGAGCAAACCAAAGTCAGGGTCCTGACAAGTGACCTGAAGTTTACATAAATCAAGACTCTGGCTGGTGTTTCTCGTGGGTGGTTGGGGGATGACAAAATCGTGTGTGCATTAGGGAATAGGCAGTGTCCCCACATTAGGGCCCTATCTGTAAGTCTGAGTAATACAAACAGGAAGAGTGTCCTGGGCCACATGGCTAAGGTAAGCAAAAATGGCCCCAGAGGGTACGAGTTGTGAGGGCTTGAGGGAAGGCTGGATCTGTTTGATTTCTGTGACCATCTGAGTGTGGGTGGGGGTGCCCCAAATATGTGAGGCGGTGGAAAGTTGCTCAATAGTAAGACAGAGATTTCCCCCTGTTGCCCACATCACTGGTTGGGTAAAGCCCATGTCTCAGTGGACAGGCATGCCCAGCAGGTTTGCTTAAGCCTTAAGGTACATGCGGTTTGGTTTGCCAGGGCAAAAGGTGTCTCACCTATGGGTAAACACTTTATTTTTATTTATTTTTTGTATAGTGTTTGTTCTCCCTTTAGTTTTCCTCCCACCATTGGAAGCTCATGTCCCAGCGTGGAAGAAACCATGCTGTGGTGTCAGACAGTGAGCAGCCCCCCGTGATGCTTTTGGCACTTTAACTGTTTTGTACATATTACAAGATATTAATATAATGTTCATTGTAGAACATCTAGAAAATACAGATAAGCAAAAAGAAAAAAAATCAAAATCTCTCATAGTCCCACCCTACAGAGATGACCACTGCCAATGTTTCGGCGTATGTTGTCCTGCAGGACAGCCTGTGTTTGTGTGTGTGAGTGCGGAAATTGACCAAAAGGAGCCACATCGTACACATTGTTCGAGAATCTGCATTTTTATCACTTCATAATATACAGTGACCACCTTTCTGTGTCACTGAATATTCTTCTCTTCTCCAGACCTGTGTGCTCAGCCCTGAGCCCCCAGCCCCACCCTCACCCGACCATTTCCCCCACGTGTCCCCTGCCAGTGGGAGCCAGAAACTGGCACACGGGCCCCAGGTCTGGGGGCTGCGGAATCTCCCACCCCTCCCCCACGCCGCTCTCCTCGCTTAGTTCACCTTCATCATTACCTTTGTAATAATTGAGATCAAATTCACATAACATGAAATTAACCATTTTAAAGTGGTTAATTTATTGGCAATTAGTACATTCAGAATGTTGTACAGCTACTACTTCTGCCTAGTTCCAGAACATTCCATCGCTCCAAAAGGAAACCTCGTACCTATTAAGCAGTTGCTCCCCAGCCCCTGGCAACCACCAATCTATGTTCTGTCTCCATGGATATTTCATATAAATGGAAAAATTTGAAAAAAATGTTGTTTTCTTTTTTATCCGGGGAAATGTAAATGCCAGACTGATCGTGTGCCTCCCCTCCGACTTGGATAAAGTCCTGAGTGTCCTGGTGCCCAGCCACCTCTTCAGGCTCCTTGTCTGACACTCTGCCCCACCACCTGCCCACGCCTGGTCCCCTGCAAATAGAGCTGTGCGCTCCTCTGAGCCACTGCAAATGCTGTTCCTCTGTGGGGTTGCCCTTCCTGCCCTTCTCGCATGAGCTGTCCTACTTACCTTTTCCAACTTGGCTCTCCCTGTCACTGTTCCCCCAGCATGTGACACATGCTCGAAGGTGGCCAGGATCACCGTGTCCAGGACAGTGGGAAAGGGTAGTGGGATGCAGTGAGGTTCTACTGCTTGACCACAAGCAGCCCTGGTTTTACCTCTCACTTCTCTGTAGTCTCAGATACTCTCCACAGTGTCTGAGCTAAACAGGGAACCACCAACTCACCCGAGCCCTGTCATTAGGAGTTGGCATCTTGCTGCGTCCCCCTGTTGTGACGGCTGGCAGTGAGGCTGGTGCACAAATGGGCAACCCAGAAGGATCTTTCTCTTCCTTTTTCCTTCCTCCAGCCTCGTTCTTTCTACTCGGGAAGCCAGATGCTTTAGCGTTTAATTACATGCTGCAGTTGGAAGCACAGAATGTCAGAGCTGGAAAGGAAGCACCTTATTATAAATAATAGCTCCTAGCATTTATTGAGCACTTACTCTGTGCCAGGCACTGAGCCAGGCTCGTTTCCAGGCATTACCTCATTTAACCTTCCAGCAACTCTAGGAGGCAGGTGCCATCATCATCCCCTTTCTTCAGGGAAGGAAACTGAGGCTGAGGGAGGCCACAGAGCATTTCCCAAACCATGCTGTGTGGTACATAGTGGCACAGAATATTAGTTGGTGTTAGCAAAAATGTTTCCCATTGTCAAATGCTGTATCCTGCACCCCCTTGGGAAATTCACAATGCACACCCACATACTAAAGGTCCTGAGAAGTCCTGCAGCAAAGAAAACCTGTTTAGGTCAGCGTCTCTTCTGTCACCTCACAAAACTGCTGATCCAGAGAGCACAATTTGGGGAATGCAGATATTGACCAACCTCCTCATCTTCAACATGAGGACTCAGAGGCCCAGGCAGATCTCTAGGGGCAGATCAGGCACGGTGCTTGGGCCCCATGCTCTCTGCAGCCCACAGGAAGCCTAGAGCAGGGGAAGGCAGATGATGGCCCATCAGGCTGCCACCTGTTTTTGCAAATAACGTCGTGTTGAAGATTTTCTGATCAAGCTCCCCTGGTTAATGGATGTGTCAGTCGGAGCCCAGAGAGAATGGCTGGTGTGTCCAAAGTCACACACAGCCAATTAGGGGCAGAGGCAGGAATAGATCCCAGGTCCCAAAACCCAGGTATTCTCTTGGGGTGTGAAGTTCCACGATACCTGCGACCCCGTGACAGCTCTCCACTGTGTGGTGTCTACACACCGTTCCCTTTCTGCTACAGAGACCTCCCCCACCCCACCCCCACACACACATTTCCTAAAGCCACCCTGGCCTGAACTGCCTGGGGGGCCTCCCTCTGTCTCCCTGGAGGGTAAACCGCGCAGGGGCCAACCCCGAAGTCTGGTAGGGGGCAAAGACTGAATGGAGCAATCCGGGTTTATTTTAATTCCGTACCAGATGCACTAAAATGTCATTAACTTCCCCACCACCAATTCGAAACGTGAGATCATGTGGACCGGAACTGGGCGCATGGGCAGAAGGCGACCTTTGCCCGTTCCAGGAAGAGTTTGTCAAACCAATGAATAGTGTAAACAGGGAGCTAGGAGGGTTGTTTGAAACCACTTCAGAAAATAAATGATGTTCAAGGGCTCTCGGGCCTCCCGGAAGTGCACTGCCACACAATTTACATTTTTCTGAGAGGGGCACAATTGAATATGCAAATAAAATCATTCTTATCTCTTCATTAAAATGACTCATGGAAAGAACACTTTATGAACCTTGTTTAAAATGTGAGCCATTTAAAATATCTCCAGATTTAGGCATTTTTGGTCCGATAGGTCTATCCAGCAAGTGGTCCTAATGAGGGAGGTTTGTTAACCTCAGGATCTGGAGGAGGGGGCTTCCTGCTGCCTCCCATGGCCAGGGCGCGCCAGAGAGCTCAAGGTTCATCTGGAAACAGTTGCGGGGACAGCAGGGCACAAAGCCTCTGGGTGGTGGCTCTTCCTGGGGCAGCCAGACTGCCCAGATGGCCCTTCCAGAGCCGGGAGTTGCAGACTTGTCCCTGAGGTGGAGGGTAAAAATAGTCACTTACGGGTGGCAGCTGGGCCCAGAGACACTGGCTTCCCTGTCTCTGGAGCAGGCGGGGGCAGCAGTTGACAGCCTCCTCCTCAGAGGCCTGAGGCCCCTCCCAAGCCCTGGGGGCTGGAGGGTCTTTCCTTAACGATGCAGTGACTCCCCAACCCCCCAAACAAATACTGAGAGTTTGAGCTTGGTTATAAAACAGCTAAGGACTTAAATCCTGGCTGTGCTAGTTACCAGCTCTGCGACCTGGGGCAAGATGTGTCTCTTTTCTGAGCTTCTATTTTCTCATCTGGCAAAAGGGGCTAATGATTTCTTTCTACAAGGCTTGCTGTGAAGATTAAATGACAACGACAGCAAACACGTTTCACTCCGGAACCTCACTCTTCTGTCCTTCTCTCTTCCACCAGTTGCTCACCTTCTGGCACCTTCTTCGACAGCGGCTGGGAGGCACGCCAGCTGCTGTCATGAGGACACTCAAGCAGCCACGTGGACAGGTCTGATGGTAAGGAACTGAGGTGCCCCCTGCCAAGAGCCAACGAGGAACTGAGGCCTCCTGCCAACAGCTGCGTGAGCAAGTCACCTTGGAAGCCGGCCCTGGCCCCCCGTCAGGCCTTCAGACGGCTGTGGCCCTGCCAACGCCTTGACTGCGGCCTCACGAGCACCCCAGAGCCACAGCCACCAACTAGCTCCTTCTGGATTCCTGGTCGCAGAAGCTGCCTGGGATTATCAAGGTCTGCTCAATGCCGGGCCATGCGCGATGCAGCAATAAATAACCAATGACTTGCCTTTCGGTGTCATTATAAGAATTAAGAGATAATATGTGTCAAACTGCAACCAAACTTGCCGAGATCAGAGGCTCCAGCGAGGGCAGACGGGAGAGAGTCAGGAAGAGGAGGCGCTGGGCAGGGAGCGGCCGGCTGGGCCCACATGAAGTGTGACAGACCGAACAGGCAAGCGGACAATGGACATGGATCAAAACAGAACTCTGACCCCAAACCTGCAGCAACAGCCCAGGAAGCCAAAACAACCCCCGGAGCAGTTGGCCCCAAATGGCCAGGACTTGATCATAACTGACAGCTTCCCTAATTTTGTCCCCATTCCAATGCAGGACCAACTGGAGAAAGCCAACTATGCTCTCCTGACCAATCACAGGTCGCTGCTCTTCTAGTCAGCCCACCTACAGCGCCCCCGGGCCAGCAGCCCCAGTCAGGGTAGACCTGACTCCCCCTTTCCCCTGTGAAGCTTTTTCCCACTCCTCTGCCTGCCTGTGAGTCTCTGCGAAGTGACAGTGGCTGACGGCCTTGCCATAGCGATCTCTGAGTGACAGTGGCTGGCGGCCTTGCTGTAGCAATCTCTGAATAAATGCCTTTGCTTGCTCTCATCTGGGCGGTCTTTGCTTATTTCCAGAAGCCCAAGTTCTCTCTCTCTCCCTTCCTGCTCCCAGGTCAAAGACAACATCTTCTTCTCCCCCCTCCTACCCCCTCCCACCCCAGGTATCCAAAGAAACCAGCTCAGAGAGGATGGAAAAGAAGGGGACAGGAATAATTAACGGCATAGCTTTGGAACAGGACAGATCTGCGATGAGATTCTGCCTCCGATGCTTAACTAGCTGTAAGGTCTTGAGTGAGTCACTTAAACACTGAGAACCTCTGTTTCCTCGTGTCAAGGGGACAGTCTGGCTGAACCCCAAGGCTGGTGTGAGAGTTCAATAAGGTAATGTATTTAAGGCACGGAGCACGTAGTAGGTGCTTAGCAAAGCAAAGGCCGGCCATCCAATCCACCTCTCAGAGCCTGCTGCCGTGGGCAGGCCCCTGTCCTGCCCTCTTGTTCACTCCCACCCCTTCCTTTGCAGCGGGCAGCCGGACTCCGGCTGAATGGAGTCCAGTCTTGGGCTCCAAGTCCAGGGTTCATCAAAGATCTCAGGAGAAGGATGGGCAAAGAACACATCTGAGCATCTCTCTAAAGAAATCCAACTGGCCCAAAGCAGAAGACAAAACGTTCCGACCAGCTACCTGCCACCTCCCGGTTCTATCCTGGCTCTAAGGGGACGTCAGAGCAGGGAGACTCCTGCGCAGAAAACTGAGTGCCCTTGTGCCAGGCCAGCTTTCCCAGCACTGAGGAAGATGAGCCAGGTTGTTTCCCAATCTCGGTGTGTGTGTGTGTGTGTGTGTGTGTGTACGTGTGTGTACATCTCTGCCTGTGTCTATTCCTTCATCTTTAAAATGAGAATTTTTATAGCTCACCAGGACACACACGAATTAGTGTTCCGATATTGAATATATGCGTGGCGGGGGGGCTGGTGTCTTAGTCTGTTTTGTGCCACTATAACAGAATACCTGAAAATGGGTAATTTATAAATAATAGAAGTTTATTTCTCACAGTCCTGGGGGCTGGGAAGTCCAAGATGGAGCAGCCAGCACCTGGTAAGGGCCTTCTTTCTGCATTGTGACGTGGCAGAGGGCATCACATGGCAGAAAGGCAAGAGAGAGGGAGAGAGCAAGAAGGGGCCAAACCTGTCCTTTTATAAGGAACGCACTCCCGAGATAATGGCCTCGATCCACTCTCGAGGGCAGTGCCCCTCCCCGAACACCACGACATTGGGCATCAGGTTTCCAACATATGTACTTTGGGGACACACTCAAATCACAGCAGGGGGCAGGAGCTCTGACATGCTCATGTGCTGGGGGCATCCTGAATCCCCTCATGCCAATTTTCCAGGCCTTTCCATGTCCCTTCTCTGAGACCTTCTCTGCAACCTTCTCTACCACCACTGAATTCAAGTCTCCAGCCACCACTTCTTGCTAGAGGCAGAGACTAAGTGCTTTCCTTACTTCCTGCGACAAGCAGAGAATGAAAATTAACACGGGGTGAGAAACCGCACCCCACCCACAAACTGAGGCAAAGATTTTAAAATACTGACAATAACTAGGATGAGGGTGGCACCCTCCTTTCCCATAGGGCAGGAGCATAAACTGGTGCATTTCCGGAGGGCGATTTAGTAGGATGTACTTTGTGATTCTGCTGGTCCATTTTTCAAAACACAATCTAAATAAAAAATCACAGTTTCTGAACAAAGACTTTGATAGAAGGCTCTTTACGGTAATATTGCTCTGGTGCAAAAAAAAAAAAAAAAAAGGAAAAAGAAATGATTCAGGTATCCAAAACCAGGAACCTTGGTGAAATAACACCATTCCTTCACCAAGAATGATGTAGATTAGTATTTTGAGATCACCAGGGAATTGTTAGAAATACACATTCTGGGCCCCGACCCCACACCTACTGATTCAGAAGCTCTGCGTGGGGCCCAGCAATCTGGGTTTTAACAAACCTTCCAGGCAATTCAGAGCCACGGTTGTAGAGGCCTGTCACTGGGAAAGATACACCGTTAACTACTAAAGGTTACAAAACGGCACGTACAAAACACTAGGTATGAACAGTGCATTCTCATTTCTAATATTAATATACACATAGAGAGACGCACAAACAGAAAAAGGTCTGGAAGAGTTTGTTCCAAGGTGGTAACATCCACACTCTCCGGGTGGTAGGATTGTGAGGTTGTAGATTTTTTTTTTTCATTTTTCGAATCCATATTTTCTAACTAGCTACAATGACCATGTTTTCATAAAAACTAAAGGGGAAAAAACCAATAATTTATTTTTTAATTTAAAAGATAAATAAATCGGGCCAGGTTGCAGGTGGGATGTAGGGAAGGAGGCAGACAGCCGCTAGCCCAGGAAAAGCTGGGAGGCAGGACGGCCGGGGCGACCCAGGGCCACCGGCCAGTGGAGCGGCCAAGGCGGCCACCCCTCCGCTGGCTAGGAAGGTTTACTAGGGCTCAGGTACAGAGCAGAGCAGAGATTTCCGGCAGACTTCTGCAAGAACTGGACTGCTAAGAGCACCAGATCCCGGAATGGGCACCTTTGGGAGATTTTCTAGCCCAGAACAGAGAGCGGATACCGGGAGGGGGCCGAGCTTCGCCGGCTAGAAGACACCGGCTTGCCCCAGTCTCCAGACCCCTCGGCCCTGGGACGCCGGGGCGGCTGCGAGGCGGGCGGGACTCCCGCCCCCTGGGGCGGGGCGGGGCCCGGCGGTTGCTAGGGGAGGGGCGGCGGGGCGGGCGGGGAACTCGGCTGCAACTGCGACGCGCGCTCGGCTCTCCGGCGGCAGCTCCCACGCCTCCTGTTGCTCCTCTGGGCCGCCGCTTCCCGCCGGGCGCCCAGGGTAGGCGGCCCGAGAGTGCCAGCTCCCGGGCAGCCTCCCGCCTTCCTCCCCTTCCCGCGCTTGAGTCCCTCGGACGGCCGGGAGCGTCCCCAAGAGCGCGGACGCCAGCGAGCTCCAGTGCGCCGCGGATTGCGCGCCGAGACCCTGGGCGCCGCGCCGCGATGAACGCGACCTTCCTGAACCACAGCGGCTTGGTGGAGGTGGGCGGCGTGGGCGGCAGCGCCGGGGCCGCCTTGGGGAACCGCAGCCACGGGCTGGGCACGTGGCTGGGCTGCTGCCCCGGGGGCGCACCATTGGCTGCCAGCGACGGGATCCCCGCGGGGCTGGCGCCCGACGAGCGCAGCCTGTGGGTGTCGCGCGTGGCGCAGATCGCCGTGCTCTGCGTGCTGTCGCTCACCGTGATCTTCGGCGTTTTCTTCCTGGGCTGTAACCTGCTCATCAAGTCAGAGAGCATGATCAACTTTCTGATGCAGGAGCGCCGGCCCTCCAAGGACGTAGGCGCCGCCATCCTGGGGCTGTACTGAACGCCACCCCGGCCGGTTCCCGCCAGCGCCACTGCCGCAAGGAGAAGGACCGGAGAGACCAGACCCTCGTCCCCCTCTGTGGGCTGTGCCGCCGCCTCCGGGCAGGTAGCTCAAGGGGCAGCGACGTGCCTCTGGGCGCCCGGGCCTGGGGACGCAGCGGGACTCGCGGCGACGGCGCGGGAAGGGACTTCCGCGCCGGGCTCGGTCCTGTGTGCGTGTCAGCGTTGGAGGGTGGGAGGTTGGGGGATGAGGGTTCTTAACCAGATTTATTTAAAAAAAAGTTCGGGGCAGTGGGAGTGAGTGCGAGGCCGTTTGGGGCTGAGGTCGCTAGCGTGGGAGTTTTGTGTCTGTTAGTGGGGGTGGGTTCCAAGCAGGGTGGGGGAGTGTGGTTGACGATCTGGAGCATCCGTCTCTCGTCTTGTTTCGCCTGATTTTGCAATTCAAAAGAAATCTTGTAATAAAACTGCAACCGGAGGGCTTTGGGAGACTTTCCACCCGCGCGCGCCTGTGTGTGTGTGTGTGTGTGTGTGTGTGTACGCGCGCGCGAGGGTGTTAGGGCGTGTGTTGGCGGGGGCGGAGGGAGGAGTGGCGTGTCCCCTAGTGGCGGGCACTTTGAGCCCATCGGGAAGAAACCAGCCCCTGCGTAGGACGCCTGGCTGGGGAGCCATCCGGCAGGTCGGGGCTCCTGGGGCTGGGCGCAGAAGTGGAAAAGGAACTGTTGTCTACGCGACTGCGGAGGAGGCAGGTCCTGTGGGGCAGCCAGACAGCTAGAGAGATTAATTAAACCATTGGAAATTTGACTCTTCTGTGAGATGAAACAAAATCAGTGAGTTGCGTCCAAAAGGGGGAAAACAGTACAATTAGATCAGGATAGCGAACAAGTAAAATTCAATTTGGTAGAGGGGGAAAAACTAGATCTAGTTAAATATCTAATTATGAGGCCAAAATCCCCATCCAAGGGCTTGTTTGGAGCCCACCCTCATACAGGGTGGGCGAGTAGAGTAAGAAGAAACCCCTTGGTTGCATCCGGGAGCGCGGGCGGTTCTCTGTGGTGAGGGCGACTCAGTACGTTTAGAAGGGAGAAAATGGCCTCCAAATGCAGTTGTCTTCAGGGGTCTTGGAACCTCCCGTTCTGAGATGCTCCCAGCTGCCCAGAAACCAGGCTTCCTGCAGGTGCTAACTTCCCTCAGAGCAGTGTGAAGCAGGAAGAACCTTGGCACTCGCCTTTCAAGGGGAAGGGGGTTGTTATTCTGTCTGCAAGTCAGAGAGAGCTGGAGAGCTGGTCTGCCGGAGAGCTGGAGCTGGGGGGCGCCCAGGGAGAGAAGGCTGGGCTTCGTGGCCTCTGCCTCCACCCTAGCCCTTAGTGCCAACGCCACTTGGAAGACTGGGGGAGGGAGCATGCTAATAGATTTCTCCCTCTCTTCTCTCTTTTGCCATGGGTGGAAGTGAGGCAGAATGAGGAAGAAGATGGCTGAGTCCTTAGCTGGCTTTGGAAACAGAAGCAAAGCGAACGCTGTCTCCTGTCTTTGGCACTGGTTCCATTAGGGAGGGAGTTGGCAGGGGGCGTATCTCAAAAGCACAGATGGTCACCAGCTATGAAGGATCCGGAGTCTTCCTGGCTCCTGAGCTCTCCGGTGTAGTCACAATCATCATTATCAAGATGAATCCCTTTCCTGCCCACCCTGCTGTCCTCATCTCAGACCTGGGAGGATTTATTCAGTTGGACAGGCCTGGCCAGAGAGGTCAGAGGCCAGAGACTCCTTGTAAAGTGTCTAATGGGGCGAAACCCCCAACGTGGCGAACGTTCTATTCGTGGTCTGGTGTGACTTGCAGGTAGCCCAGCCTGATGTGGGGACAGCAGCCTTTAATGCTTCAGTCACCCTGGACATCTGGCATGTGTACGAAGGTAGCGCAGGTGTCTGCAGCCTGGGCTGCTCACACAGCAAAACCCCAAAGGACCGGAAACAGAGGTGTCAGAAGGAGCACAGGCTTTGACACTTTTCGGCCTGGTCAAGTCAGAGCAAACGCTCCAAGAATTTTCCTCCAATAAAATAGGTCTGCTACAAAATGTGACTGGGGCAAGAGGAGAGTAAGTCAAGAGTTAAATTTCCTGAATTTGCTAAAAAGGAAAGCCTTAGTGGGGAAGCTTTGCATGATTTTCTCACTATTGAGAAAAAGTGGGGGACAGCGAAGACATGTCTGTGTACTGACAGGCGAGTTTGGGTCCCCATGCCATGGTGTACACGACTGCACACAGGGGCACGTGGGCGTGAGGGTGTGCCCACGCGTGCAGGCTCACGCAAAGGCAGGCTCAGGCCTCAGGGAGGAAAACAGCACATGGGGGTGGGGTTCTGGGAAGGGGTGAGGGTGAAAGTCCACATCTGTAGCCCGTCTTAGTTCTCCCCGAGCCCTGGAGGCCTGTAGGGTGTTTACTGAGCTGCCTTATATAAACCTGGGGGACAGGGGTAGGAACACCGAGTTATGTAAGATGGGAGCGAATGAGGAGCACTGCTCCAGGGAAGGGCCAGACTGGATCAGAATCCGGAGCCACGAGAGTGGAGCATGAAGTGGCCTGGTTCTCGAAAGCCCACCCTGCACCGCACCCCTGGGTATCGAGAGCTCTTCCCAGGATGCACGGGCCAAATCCCAGAGGGCCTTGGGTTCACAAGAAAGAAGGCCTGGGGTCCCGGTCTTCGAAATCCTGGCTGCCCTGCTTCTAGCTCTGTGACTTTGGGGAAGTAGCGCAACCTCTCTGTGCCTCAGTTTCCTCATTTACAAAATGGGAGCAATAGGACCCAGAGCTCCCATGACATGAGGTGTGTAAAATAGCCGGCACAGGGCAATAGTGACAATTATGATTATTGTTAGTTTGTTTATTGTATGAACTCTTTCCCAGTTCAATATAATTGGTTCTCTGGTATGAGATCCCCAGACAAAAAAATAGTAATTCGTATTTGCAAAGCATATGCAGTTTTCAAAGCACTTTCGTGAGCATGATGCAAACAGTGTCAAATGCCTAATGTGCCAAGCCCTGAGTTCCCACCCTTATGCAGAGGGTTTCGTTACTACTCCCAGTTTACGGCTGAGGAAACTGAGGCTCAGCGAGGTTGCCTGAAGTGACGCAGCTAGGAAGGGGCAGAGCAGGATCCAAACCCCACCTGTGTGCCTGCCGTCTTTACTCTACACGATCTCCTTTGCTCCCCACAACTGAGGCGAGCAAGAGGAGCAGATGTTCTCCTAGTGTCCTGTTTTAAGGAGAGAAAACAAAGGTTCCGTTCACTGGACTTGCCCCAGGCTCATTCATTCCATCGGTGTCTATTGCAAATCCCCTGTGGCCTGGGCCCTGTGACAGGCACCGGGGGGCAAGGGGATGGCAGAGCTGGACTCCAGCCCTGGCCTGCAGTCCCAGAAGTCCTGTGCTTTACTCTCCAAGGCCACTAGCCACGGGGTCGGGGTAGCTGGTTCCATGTGTCTCAGGGGCTAAGTCAAACCCCCCACGTCCTGTCCCCTGAGTCAGGGATGGTATTTTTGGGGTCAGTGCCCTTACTGGCAAGATTCCCCTGGGACAGGGGACAGGAGGAGAAGGAGGAGGAGGAGGAGGAGGAGGACATCACCATATCCACTTGTTTTCCCACTTGCTTGTCCAAGCCACGCACACACACATGGGTGCACGGCTGTGGCTGCAGGGAAGTCGCCCTCCCCAGACCCCAACTCAGCGGCGGATTGAAAGCAGCCTCGAGCATTAGCGGCGGTTTCAGAGGGAAAGAATGAAGCGTGAAAAGTGGTAGGTACAGACAAAAATGGTCCACATCCAGTGTTCCACTTCTGGGGAACGAGTATGCGTGTGCGTGCACACGTGCACACACCCAAACATTTGATACAAAGGACTTTGGTGGGGCTTCTGAGTAGCCTCCCTTGAGTGCAACTCATGATCCTCTCTTGTTCAAAGATCACGCCAGGCACGTGCAGTGTCCAGAACACCCGACTCCAGCTTGGCAGGTGGGGCAGGTGTCCAGGCCTCCAAGATGTCGGCTGGGGGAGTGTCCCGAGGCAGCATCTGCTTCCCCTTGCGGTAGTTGCTCTGTTACCTACACTTGAGATTCTGCGGGAGGTGCACTCCAGTCCACGGACGGGGAGAGTTCAATGCACGGGGGACATCAGATTTCAGCAATTTTCAACAACGAAAAAGCAACAGAGTCTGCAAGCCGGCTCTTATAAGATTGCCTTCTGGTTGTGTGGTTAGGTAATGGGCCCAAGGTCACACGCTCAGCTCATGACAGAGGTGACATGCAAACCAGTCTTACTAAGGTGCCAGCCAGTGCCAGTATTTATTAGTCGTGTCCTATATGACTCTCCCGGTGCTGGGTTCTCAGGAGGTTGTTAAGATGAAGGCAACTTGGTCTCTGCCCTCAAGATGCTAATAACATGACTAAGGAGACAATCGTCCCCACGGGAGATTTAGTGGTGCCATCCTTTGTGCCTCAGCTATTTCTTTTTGGGTGGCCAGCACCAGCCCATGGGATATGGGGTTCGGTGGCCTTGCAGGCCAGCTGCCAGCCTGGGTTTCCCCTGGGGCTTGTTTGGCGGGGAAAGGCCTGGGCAGGAAGCCCAGGACATGGAACCTGGATGTTGACAGTGATGCAGCCAGATGGGCAGAGGCCAACATCTGTCACCGACAGTCACACTGCACAGATTGCTGGTTCTCTGCTGAGCTGGGCCAGGCTGTGGGAGGCTAACAGACATGGGCTCCATCTTGTGCTCCAAAGCTGAAGTTCAACAAAGGCTCCAGAGACCCTGCGTGCAACCCTCACCCTCTCGCTGGGGTCCTTTCCTGTCCCAGGGTCTCCTTCCATCTCAGCCAAGAGCCAGGGCTCCTTGCAGCGACATCTTCCCATTATAGCTGGACCAGAAAGCAAGGAAGAAGAGAGAGGAGAATGGGGGAGAAGGGAGGGGGAGAGAGGGAGAATATGGAGGGAGAGCAGAGACGAGATGGGGTGGAGGGAGAAGGCCAGAGAGGGGAGGGAGGCGAGGAGGCAGCAGATGGCAGAAGCAGCAAAGCAGGAGGCCCAGCAGGCAGCGTGGTCTCCCCTCCTGCCCCAGCCCGGGGTCCTGCACGCTCATGGCCATCTGTCAGCTCTGGGTGTCTGCAAGAAAACAAGTGAAGTAGCAACATCGCGGGTGATTATGGTTGGGCTTTGACGAAAAAGCAATTACCTGTCTTGGGTGGTTCCTCCCCTCCCTCTTGGGGACTGTGCCCTCTGCCCACCCCACCAGCTCCAGGCCCTGCTGTAGGGGTGACTCTTCCTCAGAGCCAGGCCCTGGGCCCTGCCCT